GGCCAAATTAATATTTCCTTTTAATTATGTTTTTAATGATAGTATTTTGTACTTTTGTATTTGTTTTTATTAGGCTGTTAGCCGCCCTGAGTCCGCAAGGAGAAGGGTGGGGTAAAAATACAATAAATAAATAAATAAATAAATAGAATAAAAATGCAGAATAGAATAGAAATACAGAATAGAATAGAATAGAAATACAGAATAGAATAGAATAGAAATACAGAATAGAATAGAATAGAAATACAGAATAGAATTGAATAGAATAGAAATATAGAATAGAATAGAATAGAATAGAATGGAATGGAATAGAATAGAATAGAATAAAAATACAGAATAGAATAGAATAGAAATACAGAATAGAATAGAATAGAATAGAATAAAAATACAGAATAGAATAGAATAGAAAAGAATAAAGCTGGAAGAGACCTTCGAGGTCTTCTAGTCCAACCCCCTGCTCAAGTGGGTTACCTGCCTAAGCAGGGGGTTGGACTTGATGACCTCCAAGGTCCCTTCCATCATCATCATCATCATCATCATCATCATCATCATCATTATTATTATTATTATTATTATCTCAGACAAGTGTCTGTCCAGTCTCTTCTTAAAACCTCCAGTGATGGAGTGCCTATGACTTCTGCTAGCAAGCTGTTCCACTGGCTAATTGTCCTCACTGTCAGGGAGTTTCTCCTTAGTTCTAGGTTGCTTCTCTCTTGGATCATTTTCCAAACATTCTTTCTTGTCCTGCCGTCTGGTGCTTGGGAAAATAAGTTGCCCCCTCTTCTTTGTGGCAGCCCCTCTAATACTGGAAGACTGCCACCATGTCACCCCTATTCCTTTTCTTTAGACGAGGCCAGGGGTAGGCAACCGTGGCTCTTTTATGACTCGTGGACTTCAACTCCGAGAATTCCTGAGCCAGCATGGCTCAGTCAGCTTGGAAACCTCTCCCTTTCCCCTCAGCGTGGCTGGCTCAGGAATTCTGGGAGTTGAAGTCCACGAGTCGTAAAAGAGCCAAGGTTGCCTACCCCTGGACTAGGCAAACCCAAGTCCCTCAGCCATTCTTAGTAGGTTTTACTCTCCAGGTCTACATTCCCTACGTCTGAAAACTCAAAAACTCATTTGCCTTTTCTCTACTACAACATTTGGTGGGAAAATGTCCTTTTTGCACTGTTATCCAACTGCCTCTGACTTTATCTCCACCCTTAAAGGGATTCCTCCCCAAAATAAGGCAATTCTGCCGGAGAAGAGAGTATATATCTTCATCCGCTACGGCATTTTCCTTGTCCCCAAACTGGAGACTGTGGAGCCCTTGGTCCTGTCTTAGATTGGTTTGCTTGGAGACATTTCATGACACAACTAGAGAACATCATCAGTGCGGTTTGCAGAGAGGAGGAGGAGGAGGAGGAGGAGGAGGAGGAGGAGGAGGAGGACGACGACGACGACGACGACGACAACGACGACGACAACGACTGTGGGGTCCCTGGTGCTCTCTGAGCTTGGTTGTTTTCTTAAGACATTTCATTACCCAACTAGGTAACTTCATCAGTGCTGGAAGGGAATGGGGTTTGTGGAGAGGAGGAGGAGGAGGAGGAGGAGGAGGATGACGACTGGGGGGTCCCTGGTGCTCTCTGAGCTTGGATGTCTTCTTAAGACATTTCATTACCCAACTAGGTAACTTCATCAGTGCTAGAAGGGAGTGGGGTTGTCTCCTTGTTTATATACAGTAGCTTGCCCTGCCAGCGTTGCTAGGACAGCGGTTTTTCTCCTCCACAGTCCCTTGATGAGGGTATTGTTTTCTGCTTGATTGTTTGTCTGGGGTTAATCCCTGCTTATCTCCCTGGAAAGAATACATTTAGGATCTTTTTCTTTCCTTCTTTTTTTTATTGTCTCCTTTCAACGAACGTGTCGGGGTGGCTGATCTCTCCATATGGACCTGGAGACTATTCTTATTCAATATATGAAAGAAGAAGAAGAAAGAAGAAGAAGAAAGCGTAACTATAGACTCTCTTTTCCGGCAGAATCTGCGGTCAAATGAGACTAATCTTGTCTCTAAAGAAAGACGCTCCATTTGCGGAGAGGGGAAAAAAAAAAAGGCTTGTAATTTCACGGCTCTGACAGAGCAGAAAAGAGAACAAAAGGTTGTGCCACACAACAGCAGGCGACACGGCACAGGCGTGATCAAAGCGCTGGCGGGTCCCCGTGAAGGGAAGGGAGGGGGGCAGCGTGACACTGAGTGGGTGCAGTTGTGACCTTCTCAACACAGATTATGCCTCTGCTGTCAAATTGTATTTTTCATCCTTTTCCTCTCGGCACCCACGGATTTAACCAGAGAGGGGAACAACCGCCCCTGTAAATCACAGCAGAGGAGGAGAATTTGGCTGGGGATGATGGGAGTCTCATGGGGATTGGGGAAGATTTGATGCTTCCCAGGTCCGATCTGAAGACGCTTGATTTGGCATCTCTTGGGGCGAGACGGCGTCCACCGCCCTTTCCGGAGAGTTCTCTGGCTGCGCGCCAAATCCGTTTAAGCTCCGCGCGTTTGCAGAAGAAATCCACTTAGAAATGTATATCAAAAATGAGATTTTTTTTCCTCTTTCCAGGCTGGCAGGAGAAATAGGTACGAACGACAGGACAGCGAACGTTGGTGGGCGGGGGAAGAAAACAGCCAGAGAAGAAATTGAATCTTCCAAAGGAGGAAGAGGAAGAAGCAGGAGAAGCGAGGAGAAGGATGAAGAACTGAAGGCTCAGTCTTTGCAAAAGGTTGAATACAGGGAGTCTGTCCTGCCTCCATCGGAGCCTGAATCTGCATCTGCAGAGGAAAATGAACTGGAATGGGACCCTATGGAGGTCGAGGGAGAGGAGGATTCACACAGACACGTTAGGTTTATGATGTATGTATCATTCCTTGTTATCTCCGTGGCCTTGAGTAAATTCCTCTCCTAATCAGGCTGTATGTGAAACTACTTGCAGCCAGAGGCGGCTGAAGGTGTGGGTGTCTTCCTGTGTTTGGAGGCTGGCCAGAAACGTGGGAGCATTTGGGGAAAATTTGGAGCAATTAAAGGGCGGTTTGAATTGCCAGCTGACTGCATGGCCTCGGTGCTGTGTCCTGGGTCATCACAGAGTCCTCGACTTACTACCACAACTGCTGCACCCATTGGAAAAACATACCGGGTTCACCAGACATGCAATTCCATCACCAGAAGGACACTGTGACGGTCATAAGTGCGAGAACTGGCCCCACCACTTCTTGCTCTTGCATTACTATTATTTAAATGTTCATTCCATTAAACAAGACGAGTGTTTAGTGAGTGGTGGCCTGTTTTACCACCTTTTTTGCCACAGTTGTTAAGTGAACCACCGCAGGTGTTAGGTGAATCAGGCGATCATTAAGCGAATCTGGCTTCTCCCATTAGCTTTGCTTGTTAGAGGTCAGCTGGGAACATTCCCATGACCCCAAGAAACTGCCACCGTCATAAATACGAGTCTGAATTTTGATCACGTGACCATGGGGAGGCTGCAACGGTCGTAAGTGTGAAAAACGGTCGTAAGTCCCTTTTTTCAGTGCCGCTGTAACTTCGAACGGTCACTAAATGAACTGTTTTAAGTCGAGGACAACCTGTAGCAGTGACCAGCCTGGATGACAGGGAAATGAATGTCTTTTCTGACAGCCTCAGTTATCCTATCTGTAATATGGGGGTAATTACGCCTGAGGATCAAAATACAGGGAGTCCTTGACTTACAACAGTTCATTTAGTGACTGTTGAAAGTGGCAACAGCACTGACACAAGTGACCGTTATAACCGTTTTTCACACTTGTGACCATTACAGCGTCCCTCTGGTCATGTGATCAAAATTCAGCTGTTTGGCAACTGACTCATATTTATGACGGTCGCGGTGTCCCGAGGCCATGTGATCCCCTTTCCTGATCTTCTGACCAGGAAAGTCAATGGGGAAGCCAGGCAGTGATTCACTTAACAACTGTGGCAAGAAAGGTCGTAAAATGGGGCAAAACTCACTGAACCAATGTCTCGCTTAACAACAGAAATTCTGGGCTCAATTGTGGTCGTAAGCCGAGGACCCTGCAACCGTCACAAATACACGTCCGTTGCCAAGTGCACAAATGTTGATCACATGACCGTGGGGGGATGCTGCAACGGTCGTAAGTGTGAAAAACGGTCATAAGTCACTTTTTTCAGTGCTGCTGTAACTTCGAACAGGCGCTAAATGAACTATCGCATGTCGAGGATTACCCGTACGATATTTGTTGTGAACGTCCCAGAGTCACTTGGGTGAAAGGGGCAATGTAAAAACTTAAAATAATAGTATTAATCATGCAAGTAAGCCAATGGTGGGGCCAGTCCTCGCACGTACGACCGTCACAGTGTCCTTCTGGTGACGGGACTGCCATTGGGGTGCGTGAAATCGGCCTATCTTTCCGATGGATGCGGCATCTCGGGGGTCACGTGATCACCCTTGGCGACCTTCCCCGGGGGGAGGGCTTCCGACCAGAAAAGTCAAGAGGGGATGCTAGATTCGCTTAATGACCACCTGTCTCACTTAACGACTGTGGTGATTGGTTTAACAACCGTGGCAAAGAAGGTGGCCGCCACAAAGAAGAGGGAGTCAAGCTATTCTCCAAAGCGCCTGAAGGCAGGACAAGACGCAACGGATGGAAACTAACCAAGGAGAGAAGCAACCTAGAACTAAGGAGAAATTTCCTGACAGTGAGAACAATTAACCAGTGGAACAGCCTGCCTCCAGAAGCGGTGAATGCTCCAACACTGGAAGTTTTCAAGAAGAGACTGGACAGCCATTTGTCTGAAATGGGATAGGGTTTCCTGCCTGAGCAGGGGGTTGGACTAGATGACCTCCAGGGTCCCTTCCAACTTTATTATTATTATTATCATTATTAAGGTTGCAAAATTGGAGGCGACTCATTTGCGTCGCTTGCCGGTTGCGGTCGTAAGTCGAGGACCACCTGTCGGACTCCACCACCCCCTTACCTGAGCGAGAGGGAATACTCGCTGTGGCTGGCCTTGCTGCTCCGAACCAGGTAACTGCCTTCCCTGCACAGCGTCAGGAGTGTCTCGGCTTCAGCTCGGCTGATGGGGCCATGAAACCACCTGCGAATCACAAGAAAGCGGAGTCACATCGGTACGTTCGCCCTGCCTCCCGGTGGTTTTTCCTGCCTGGCGGAGAGACCCTTTTCTCCTACCTGTGGGGAAAAAGCGGTCTGCACGAACACAAGATCCTCGGGGAATGTCTGGTGCAGCCTGTCCTCCAGTCGGGGCAGTTGCGAACCCTTTGCAATCGGGAGAGCACCAGGTTGGGTAATGGGATGTGAGAATGACTTTGGGAGACGGGAGGAAGAGACGCTGTCTAGAGGCAGAGGGCGCCAATTTTTGTCGGTTGGCGGACCAGAGGAAAAGGGAGAGGGAAGCATTTCATAGGTGTGCGTGCGCGAGTGCGCACAGGGTCATGAGTACGCGCGCACCGCAAATGTATCACCACGTGATACTAACTCTGCCCATTCTTGTGTACTGCAGCGCTTTGTTTCTGTGCCCTGCGGCACTGTGGTGGCCCGTTTTGGTGCCCTGTGGCATGGCAGCGCCCATTTTTGCACCCTGCGGCGTGGCGGTGGCCCGTTTCCGCACCCCGCGGCGCAGTGGCATCCGTTTTTGCACCTTGCAGCATGACAGCGGCCTGTTTTCATACCCTGAGGTGTGTTGGCGGCCCATTTTTGTGCCCTGAGGCGCAGCGGCAGCCCGTTTTTGTGCCCCATGGCATGGCGTCCTGTTTTTGCGCCCTGCGGCCAGGGCACTAGCACAAGTGAGGGGGTGTGCACGCACACATAGGCACCCTGGCCAGCCCACTACCAGGCTGCAGGCCACAAGTTGGGGACCCCTGGTCTAGGGAACAGTCAGATAAGAGACAGCTGAGCCCTCACCTGCATAACGGGTGGAGAAAGAAGATACTCAGAACGGACTCTCCCTAATTTCTCAGTTTATAAAGGAGGTCAGAGTAGTAGAGAGAAGGTCAGAATAGAGCTGGAAGGGACCTTGGGGGTCTTCTAGTCCAACTCCCTGCTCAAACAGGAAACCCTATCCCATTTCAGACAAATGGCTGTCCAATCTCTTCTTGAAAACTTCCAGTGTTGGAGCACACACAACTTCTAGAGGCAAGCTGTTCCACTGGTTAATTGTTCTGTTAGGAAGTTTCTCTTTTTATTCTAGGTTGCTTCTCTCCTTGATTAGTTTCCATCTGTTGCTTCTTGTCCTGCCTTCAGATGCTTTGGGAGATAAGTTGACCTCCTCAAATACTGGAATACTACTATAATGTACCCCCTAGTCCTTCTTTTCTCCAAACCCAAATCCTGCAGCCGTTCTTCATATGTTTTAGTCTCCAGGCCTTGGATCATCTTAGTTGCTCTTCTCTGCACTTTTTCCAAAGTCTCCACATCTTTTTTGTAACGTGGTGACCAAAACTGGATGCAGGTACTCCTGGTGTGGAATTTCTGTCGCTAAGTGAGACAGTTGTTAAATGAGTTTGGCTCCATTTTACCGTCTTTCTTGCCACCATTGTTAAGTGAATCACTGCAGTGGTTAAATTAGTAATGTGGTTGCGATGTGAATCTGGCTTCCCTATTGAATTTTTGCATGTCGGAAGGTCGCAAAAATTAATAACCTGACTCTGGGAAGCTACAACCGTCGTAAATATGAATCAGTTGCCAAACGGCTGAATTTGGATCACGTGACCGTGGGGAGCACTGCAACGGTCCTAAGTGTGAAAAAGGGTCATAGGTCACATTTTTCAGCGCTGTGGTAACTTTGAACTGTCACTAAATGATCCAATCTGGGTCGGTCACCGGGACCAAAGGTTTTGTCTTCCGAGTTTTCGGTCACTAAATGAATGTTTGTAAATCCAAGACGACTTGTAACATGTTTTGAAGGATGATAGAAATGATAAAGACTCTATTTTGACTGTGGTTTGAACAGTTTTCCCTCCGCTTGGCATTTTCCCCAGCATGATCAAAATGACCATTTTGTTTATCCCCCATTTGCGCACCGAATCCCGGATAATTTGGTCAATAGCCACTAATGAGAAAAATCACTGGCACAAAAAATAATTAAAACATCAACAATTTGTGGCAAACGGGACACCAATAATAATTACTTTTGAGCGGTCAATGTACGTCGTGGAATAATATCTATTGAACTTTGTCGGCGAGAGAGAAAAAAAGAAAAATAGAAGAAAATAAAATTAATGGCCTTTGCTCGGGGAGGGAAACTAATCCAGGAGAGTAGTAACTGTGAGAGGGATCTCGGAGTCTTAGTGGACAATCACTTAGATATGAGCCAGCCGTGTGCTGCAGCTGCCAAAAAAGCCAACACAGTGCTGGGCTGCATTAACAGAGGGAGAGAATCAAGATCACGTGAAGTGTTAATACCACTTCACAATGCCTTGGTAAGGCCACACTTGGAATACTGCATCCAGTTTTGGTCACCGCGATGTAAAAAAGAGGTTGAGACTCTAGAAAGAGTGCAGAGAAGAGCTACAAAGATGATTAGGGGACTGGAAGCTAAAACATATAAGGAACGGTTGCTGGAATTGGGTATGTCTGGTTTAATGAAGAGAAGGACGAGGGGGGACAGGATAGCAGTCTTCCATTATCTCAAGGGCTGCCCCAAAGAAGAGGGAGTCAAGCTATTCTCCAAAGCGCCTGAAGGCAGGACAAGAAGCAACGGATGGAAATTAATCAAGGAGAGAAGCAACCTAGAACTAAGGAGAAACTTCCTGACAGTTAGAACAATTAACCAGTGGAATAACCTGCCTCCAGAAGCGGTGAATGCTCCAACACTGGAAGAGACTGGACAGCCATTTGTCCGAAATGGTATAGGGTTTCCTGCCTGAGCAGGGGGTTGGACTAGATGACCTCCAAGATCCCTTCCAACTTTATTATTATTATTATTATTATTATTATTATTATTATTATTATTATTATTATTATTATTATTATTATTATTATTATTATTATTATTATTATTAAATATGGGACCCACACTCAGCCCTGATCCCCTCCTGGGTGTCACTTACGCCTGACTCTCCAGGGGCAGCGACAGGTCGATGCGCTCAGCCAGGGGAACGCCAGACTCGGGGCTCTGCGACTGGCCAAACTTGGCAGAGCCGGTCAGGTGCTTCGGCGGACGTGGCCGGTGCTCTTTGGGGGCTGAGGAGGAGGAAGAGGAAGAGATCCGGTCCCACTCAGGGGCTTCGAACTGTGCTGTGGGAGGAGCAGGACAGACCCTTAGACAGTTGGAGAGGCGACTCGAAGGAGCCAATGGGCACTTCCCCTGCCAGGGAATGTTTCTTGGTTGGCTAGCAGACTCCCAAAGGGAGGGTAGTCAAAAAAAAGTCAAAATGGCAACTGTGCAAAGCAAGCTCCGCCCATTTCTTACATGTCCTCTGGCCATCGGTTGCCATCTTGGCTTTTTGTGCACACCCTGCAGTGGGGAGGGGACAGTGAAATGTTGGCAGCCTGTTTTTTGTCATTTTTTTTGGATTTTGTAAAGAATTTGGAAACTGCAGTGGAGGTTTGAGAAATTCTGTTGATATATAGCAGCAGAGATCAAACAAAGTGTACAGTCACCATGTGCTTTACTGCTTACCATAGATCCAAACTTGTAAACACTGCCATCTACTGACTGAATGCCACTGTATATATTCCAACAATGAATTCTAATAGGAGGGGGAAAATTGAGGATCCCTCTCAGAATCTGCAGAGAGGGGTCAAAAACATCGTTGGGATATGTGCGTGTGTGCTGGCTATGGCCGCCATCTTGACTTTTTTGACCTTGCTCCCTGTGGACGCAATTTTATAAGCTTGCCCTTTTCAGTCTCTACATAAGCAACCTTTAGGTTGCCAATCCATAAAAATTAGACGTTTCAGCCGCTGTTTGTATGTGAGGGTGGCTGGGTGTTTGTGTGGATGTGTCATCAAAATGCTAGCTGGGATAAACATATGGGCAACATCTGAATGAAGTTATCTTGGCTCAGAAACTAAACCTCTGGTTTCAAAATGACTTTAAACTGCCTGCTAGATTGGGAGATTTTGGAGGTAGTCCTCAAATTATGACCACAATGGGCCCCAGAACTTTGGTCATTAAGGGAGTCATGCCCGATTTTATGATCTTTAGTAAGGTCACAAAAGTCGTAAACAATAATGTGGTCCTTAAGTGAGTCCTGTCCAACTTTACAACCTTTTTGCTGCAGTGGCCATTAAGTGGATCCAGTGTCCCCCGTTGACTCTGCTTGTTGGAAGCCCCCCGGGAACATCTCAGATAGGAAACAGGCGATGCCAGGATGCTGCAGCCATCTTGAATAGATGCTGGCTGCCCATCACAGGATTGCCGGGATGCTGTGCAGGTCATAAGTGCGAGGACTGGTTGCAAGTTACTTTTCTCAGGACTGTCACAACTTTGTTAATGGTCTAAATTGGGGCCTGTTTGTATTCTTACCGAAGAAGATGGCACAGCCTTGACTTCACCTTCATTAAGATTGCATTATTCAAAGCGATAGGAGTTCAGAGAGTCCTCGACTTAAGACAGTTCGTTTAGTGACCATTCCAAGTTACGCCACTGAAAAAAGTGACCGTTTTTCACACTTATGACCATTGCAGCATCCCTCGTGGTCACATGATCCAAATTCAGATGCTTGGCAACTGACTCGTATTTACGACGGTTGCAGTGTCCCAGGGTCACGTGATCCCCTTTTGCGAACTTCCGACGAGGAAAGTCAATGGGGGAAGCCAGATTCACTTAACAACTGCAGCGATTCCCTTAACGACTGTGACAAGAAAGGTCGTAAAACGGGGCAAAACATGCTTAAAAATGTCTCACTTAGCGACAGAAACGTGGGCTCCGTTGTGCTTGTAAGTGGAAGACTACCATCTAGGCCAGGGTAGGCAACCTTGGCTCTTTTATGACTTGTGGACTTCAACTCCCAGAATTCCTGAGCCAGCATGGCTCAGCTTGGAAACCTCTCCCTTTCCCCTCAGCATGGCTGGCTCAGGAATTCTGGGAGTTGAAGTCCACGAGTCATAAAAGAGCCAAGGTTGCCTACCCCTGATTCTAGGCTGTAGTGTCTGCACAAAGAAGGGCAGGGGTACCCCAACATGGTGGACACAGGTGCCCCAACACAACTCCGCCTTTTTTTGGAACATGCATCAGGATACCACCACCCCACATACACACACGTCAGAGAGAAGCATCACAACATTGCAAAGAAAGTCTCATTTTCTGATTGCGACCCAAAGGTGGGCTTTTACCGACCACTCTGGAAACGGGCTGTGGAAAAAATGTGCAAGAACAGGCCGTGTGTGAAAACATGCCAGAGACAGGCAGGCCCATGCAACACAGTGGACACATGTGCAACAAAAGGAACAACAACAGTGAAAGATAGAAAAGTGAGAAAAGGAGGGAGGGAGGAAAGAGGAATTGCCAGGATGGGAAGAAACAATTATATAGAATCTCTAAAAATATATATATAAATAAATTCTGTGTCAATTTTTTCAAAAGTTTGAGAGGTTCCTGAGGCCCCGTGTTTCATTCCTGCCAAATTCACCCCTCTAGTTTTTTTTAAGCCCCAAGTTGAAACGACAACCACTGGCTTTCTAAGATTAAAAAAATAAAACTTTTGGATTTCGTATATTTCTGAAATGCAGGTAGTCCTCCACTTACAACAGTTAGCTTAGTGACCGTTCAAAGTTACAACGGCACGGAAAAAAGGGTCTTTTGTGACCCCTTTTCACGCTTACGAAGCATCCCCGGGGTCAGGTGATCAAAACTCAGAAGCTTGGCAACTGACTCATACTTATGATGGTTCTGACAAGCAAAATCAATCATAATGATTCACTTAACAACTGCGGCAAGAAAGGTCGTCCAATGGGGCAAAATTCACTTTCCAAATGTCTCACTTAGCAGCTGAAAATTGGGGATCAGTTGTGGACATGTGTCAAGAGCTACCTGAATAGGAAAAAATGGATTTAAAAGCTGTAGGTTGCAGTGGTCCAATAAATATAACTAGTGATGACTTCTTCATTCAAAAAGAAAACATTTTCTTTGAAAAGCAAATTGTGATTCTTGAAATTGGTTTAGAATAGTGTTTCTCAACCTCCGTAGCTTTAAGATATGTGGACTTCAACTCCCAGAATTACCTAGCCAGCATGCTTTAAGATGGGTGGAGTTCATCTCCCAGAATCCCCCAGCCAGCATGCTTTAAGATGGGTGGACTTTGACTCCCAGAATCCCCCAGCCAGCATGCTTTAAGATGGATGGACTTCCACTCCCAGAATTACCCAGCCAGCATGCTTTAAGATATGTGGACTGTCTCCCAGAATCCCCCAGCCAGCATGCTTTAAGATATGTGGACTTCAACACCCAGAATCCCCCAGCCAGCATGCTTTAAGATGGGTGGACTTCAACTCCCAGAATCCCCCAGCCAGCATGCTTTAAGATGGGTGGACTTCCACTCCCAGAATCCCCCAGCCAGCATACTTTAAGATGGGTGGACTTCGACTCATCCAGTTTTGCCTGCTGCTGGCTTATCTCCACCAGCCCAATGGGGGTGGCTCCATCCCGTGTGGACTTCAGTTCCCAGAATTCCCCAGCCCACATGTTGAAGTCCACAAAGTTGCGGAGGTTGAGAAAATCTGGTCTAAAGAAAGTCCATCTGCTCTTCTATCAATCGGGCGCCTTTCTGCGGTCAGAGGGAGCCATACCTGTTGAGTACCTGCCTGCCAAACTGCAGCTTCTGTGTACTAAATAAGCTCAGTTCCCCCTCTACTAGCATCCTGGGATGCTCAAAAAAAAAAAAAAAAAGATCAAAAGAATTGTAGCAAAGTAGAAGATGGAGTAAAGGGAGAGGTTTTGATGGAGGAAGGACAGGTTGAAAACAAACAGGGAAGGTTGAAATCAAGACATCACCTTCTGGATCTAGGGGTTCTTCCGTCCCCGTAAGTTGTCCTACCGGCGGTGGCCAGGGCAATACTTTATTCTCCTTTATGTCTACTGCAAGGGGAAAGGATGTTATGAAGATGAGGTGGGGAGTTTGTAGAGAGAGGGATGAAAGAGCATGGAAAGGAGGGAGGAAGGGAGAAGATGATGGTAGGGATGGGAGGAAGAAGACAAAACCGGCATGATAAAAAAGAAATGATTGAACTAGACAAGACAGATAGACAGACATGGGAAGGCTAGGAGGAAGTCCCCTACTACAACCTTACTAAGTCTCTTGACTGGATCGAAACTTTATCCTCCCCAACAATGCATTGCTCCCCATTATCCTCCCCAACAATGCATTGCTGGCGGAAATAGGAGATCCAACATTTTGAGGTACTTACCTTCTCCATCAGATTCTGGACGGATATACAATCCAGTGAAACCTCATTTAGTGGACTACAGAGCTGTCTGTTATTCCTAAATGTCCACTAAACACAAAAGTACATCACACTCATGTGGTGATGCAACTCGTGTCTTTGGTATTGATATGAACAACAAAATAACAGAGTTGGAAGGGACCTCGGAGATCTTGTAGTCCCACCCGCTGTTCAGGCAGGAAACCCTATGCCATTCCAGACAAGTGGCTGTCCAGTCTCCTCTTAAAAACCTCCAGTGATGGAGCATTTACAACTTCTTGTGGCAAGCAGTTCCATGATTAATTGTTCTCACTGTCAGGAAATTCCTCCTTAGTTCTAGCTTGCTTCATTCCTTGATTAGTTTCCATCCTTTGCTTCTTGTCCTGCCTTCTGGTGCTTTGGAGAATAGGTGGACCCCGGTCTTCTTTGTGCCAGCCCCTCAAATATTGGAGCACTGCCATTATGCCGCCCCTGGTCCTTCTCTTCATTAGACTAGACATACTCAATTCCAGCAACCGTTCTTCATATCTTTTAGTCTCCGGTCCCCTGATCATCTTTGTTGCTCTTCTCTGCACTCTTTCTAGGGTCGCAACATCTTTTTTGTATCGTGGCGACCAAAAGTGGATGCAATATTCTAAGTGTGGTATTATTGACTTGGCAGATTATGCAGCACTTAACAGAATAACAAAATAACAGAGTTGGAAGGACCTTGGAGGTCTTCTAGTCCAACCCCCTGCTCAAGCAGAAGATACCATACCAGACAAATGGCTGTCCAATCTCTTACACCCCCCCCCCCCCGTGATCGTGGGCGCTCCATCACTGGAGATTTTCAAGAGGAGACTGGACATTCACCTGTCTGAGATGGTATAGGTTTTTCTGCTTGAGCAGGGGGCTGGACTGGAAGACCTCCAAGGTTCCTTCCAGCTCTATACTATTCTTATTCTTAAAAACTTCCAGTGTTGGAGCATTCACCGGTTCTGCAGGCAGGTTGTTCCACTGATTAATTGTTCTCAATATCAGGAAATTTCTCCTTAGTTCTAGGTTGCTTCTCTCCTTGGTTAGTATCCACCCGTTGCTTCTTGTCATGCCTTCAAGCGCTTTGGAGAATAGCTTGACTCCCTCTTCTTTGTGGCAGCCCCTGAGATATTGGAACACGGCTATCATGTCCCCCCTCGTCCTTCTCTTCATTAAACTAGGCATACCCAATTCCAGCAACCGTTCCTTATATGTTTTAGCCTCCAGTCCCCTGATCATCTTTGTTGCCCTTCTCTGCACTCTTTCTAGAGTCTCCACCTCTTTTCTACATCGTGGTGACCAAAACTATGTGATGGTTGCTTAAGACAGCCCTTCCCAAACCTCGATAGATTTTTTCAAAATTGGATATAAATTTCTTTGGATAAACTACTCACAAGCCCACCACCCAATCACAACAGGGACCTTTAAATGGACTTAAAGTGTTTTACCCTATACAGGAAGTCTGAAATTAAAATCTGCATTTCTGTTGTTAAGCACCCAACTCTTATTAGATAATTTTCTTTGGACTGCAAATAGTCTTTTGACTTAGGACCAAAATATCCATTGCTAAGCAAGACACAAGTGTTAAGTTGACCCATTTTATGACCTGTCTTGCCATAATTGTTAAGTTCTTAAGTTAGTTACATAGAGTTGTTAAGCAAAACTGGCTTCCCCCATTCACTTTGTTTGTCCGAAGGTCGCAAAAGGTCGCAAAAACGTGACCGTTGCAACTGTCATAAATATGAGTCAGTTGCCCACGTGTCCGAATTTTGATCACGTGACCTTGGGGATGCTGCAACGGTCGTAAGTGTGCAAAGCTGTCATAATTCACTTATTTTCAATGCAGTTGTAAGTTCAAACAGTCACTAAATCAGGGGTCTTCCAACTTGGTCCTTTTATGACTTGTGGACTTCAACTCCCAGAATTCCTCAGCCAGGCACATGTGCCTGGCTGAGGAATTCTGGGAGTTGAAGTCCACAAGTCATAAAAGGGCCAAATTGGAAGATCCCTGCTCTAACTCTATGTATTAGTCTATTATTCTATTCCAGGGGTCTTCAAACTTGGCCCTTTTATGACTTGTGGACTTCAACTCCCAGAATTCCTCAGCTAGCATGCCTGGCTGAGGAATTCTGGGAGTTGAAGTCCACAACTCATAAAAGGGCCAAGTTTGAAGACCCCTGACTCATGCATGAGGCAATCTACACTCTGATTGGTTGCTGTGGGTATGAAGGGGGCGTTTCCCTTTTTCCCCACCTTTTTTCCTCTGTGTGTCCTGTATACTGTTTGATTTACCTCAGGCACTCTGGCTGAGGAATTCTGGGAGTTGAAGTCCACAAGTCATAAAAGGGCCATGTTTGAAGACCCCTGCACTAAATAAATGGCTGTAACTTGGGAATTACCTGTTCCTCAGTTGTGGGTAATGAATGAAAACCTTTTGGAAACAGTGGCTTAAGGACAATTGTGATGCCAAAGGCATAAACCTTCGTGCATGTTGTAAAGTTATTTTAATTTAATCAGCTCCCCCAAGCTACTTTAAATGGATGGTGGTTTGTTCAGAGGCTAAGAAAGAGCCTCCGGAATCACAGCCTGTTTGGGAAAACGACAGATTCTCTGAGTTAATTGGAGAAAAGAGCTGCCAGCTTGCCAATTATTGTAACTAGGAAGCCACTCGAAAAAAGCTCAGAAAATCTGCACTTTATTGAAGTTAAAGGTAAATTGGGTTTTAGCAGGAACCTCATCCTGTTGCTGAGATTTTCCCCCCTCTGGCTCTCCATAAATCTTGTTAAAAAGGACTTATTGGGAATTTACTCGGTGTTGAACCAACAAGACGCAAAGGGATTGCATTATTTCAGAAGAAAATCTGGAGCAGGAGTGTCCAGCCTTGGCGAATTTAAGACTTGTAGCCTTCAACTCCCAGAATTCCCCAGCCAGCATGTCATACATGCCAATTTCGTGGTCCATCACTAAGCGACAAGTCATAAGTCAAGGACTGTCCGTATAGGTAAAATTATTCCTTTAGAAATTGTTCCCAGAAAGGTATTCACGTTGAAGAGATTCTAGAAATATTTCAGAGAAGAGCAACGAAGATGATTAGGGGATTGGAAGCTAAACAGTTTGAGGAATGATTGCAGGATTTGGGTCTGTCTAGTTTAATGAAAAGAAGGACCAGGGGTGACATGAGAGCAGTCTTCCAATATTTGATGGGCTGTCAAAAAAGGGGGTCAAAGTATTCTCCAAAGCATCAGAAGGCAGGACAAGAAGCAACAGATGGAAAGTAATCAAGGAGAGAAGCAACCTAGAACTAAGGAGAAACTTCCTGACGATTAGAACAATTAACCAGTGGAACGACTTGCCTCCAGAAGTTGTGAATGCTCCAATACTGGAAGTTTGTAAGAAGAGATTGGACAACCATTTGTCTAAAATGGTATAGAGTTTCCTGCCTGAGCAGGGAGTTGGACTAGAAGACCTCCAGGGTCCCCTATTCTATTCTATTCTATTCTATTCTATTCTATTCTATTCTATTCTATTCTATTCCAAAGCTCCCGAAGGCAGAACAAGAAGCAATGGATGGAAACTAACCAAGGAGAGAACCAACCTAGAATTAAGAAGAAATTTGCTGAACAATTAATCAGTGGAACAACTTGCCTCCAGAAGTTGTGAATGCTCCAATACTGGAGGTTTGTAAGAAGAGATTGGACGACCATTTGTCTAAAATGGTATAGGGTTTCCTACCTGAGCAGGGGGTTGGACTAGAAGACCTCCAAGATCCCTTCCAACTCTGTTATTCTGTCATTTCCAGGAATAAAAGAAAGCAAGAGAGCCCCAGTGACATTGCTTAAGGTAGTGGGGCATCCGGGAAACACGGACGGTAAGGAAACAAACCAGCGGTTGTAAAATGAGGAGCCCCTGTAGATTTCTGAGTGCAGTGACTCACCCAGAGATGCAACGGGCAGCCTTGTACAACTGCAGGCACTTCACCTGCTGTTTTTATCTGATTACTCCAGGCTGATGCAGTGGGAAGAATATCCTGGTTGATAAGACGGAGCAGCTAAATTTACCCGCTGTATCTCTTATCAGCTAAGCCACAGAGAGACAACTGATGGATCAGATGTGACTTTTCTGCATCCCCAGTGACACACACACACACACACACCCAAGTTTGCAAATGGAGCATTTATAGTTCTTGTGTGTGGGGGGCACTTCTCTCCTTCTTCAAGATCACATATTCAAAGATAAATCGCCTCTCTTGAATTCTGAATTGCCCACTTTATTTTTCCAGCTTAAGAA